ATCTGATACTTTTTTACTATTTTTAGCAGTATATAACTTTAGATATTCTGCTGCGATAGGTCCTAATCTCATGTTATCTACAACTTCAGGTGGCATGATTGCTTTAGTTTCAGAATCTAGTAAAGCAGGATAATTTGAAAAAGTATTTGCTATTTGATCAGCTTTATTTTCTAATTTAGATATACCTTCTTTTATTCCAGATTGACTATCAATTATTGGTTTGTACAACTTTTCCAAGTTAGTCTGTAAAGCATCATAACCTAACTTTTCATTTACATCATCTTGATATATACTTTTCTTTAAACTAGCAAGTTCTTTTGCTATTTTTAATCTTGCATCAATATCTGTAGCTTTTGCATACATTTTTATATATGAAATAATTTTTTTAAATCACAATGTGATCCCTAGATCCCTAAAGGGATTAAATCAACATATATTATGTTTTTAATACATAATATATGTTCAAATAATACATAATATATGTTTTTTTATTTAATTCTTAAGAGTATTATTCATCACTCCTATATTCTGATTTTTGTTAAATCTCATATTTAGCAATTCCATAGTTTCTTTCATTGCTTTCTCTTTACCTTGATTAATGAGTGACTCTTTAGTCTGTTCATCTATATCATTCTTAGATTTTGTTCTAATTTGTTCAGTCATATCTTGAAACTTTTCAAGTTCTGAAAGTATCATATTAAATTCTGCATCATCAATATATTGATCTGATATAGCTTTAGAAATAAGACTACTTATTGTATTTAGTTTTGCATCAGCTAGTACTTTAATCTTTTCATGCTTTTCTGCTTTTATTGTTAATTTTTTAATAGCTTGTGATCCTATTAATGATAATACACCCATACCTAATGCTGCACCTTCACATGCAATAGCTACTGGTGTACCAACTATTGTTGTTAAAAAACCAATACCAACAGCTCCAAGTGTCATAGTGCTTGCTAGTAATGTATTATCAACTGCTGAAATGATTCTTACAGCTCTATGATATTTTTTACTAAAAATCTCTCTTCTAATTCTTTCACATTCTATTTTATCTTGAATTTCACTAATCTTTTGTAATCTAAAGTTATGATCTATAGATTGTGGTGGTGCAGATGGATTTTCTGAAAACTGGTTAAGATCTGGATAAAGCTGCTTACATTCATTATTATATCCATTATTACATAACATTTTCTTTTTTCTATAAAGAAAAATTTGTTTTAAATCACTTTTGCGATCAATGCTTCGCTAAATCACTTTTTACCAAAATTAAATATATCTTCATCAGATTTATCTATACTAGGTTTATCTTTAATTACTTCTTCTATACTTGATAATAAAGATTTTACAGATTCTTTATCACTTTTCTGTTTAGTTCCTGAGTCATTTTGTTGTCTAATTTGTTCTTCTTTAACATGTTCTAAAGCATCTCTATGTGATATATAATTTGCATTTAAAACACCATTATAAGTTGATATACAACATAACAAATCTCCTTTTTTAATGTTTATATCTTTTTTATCGTTATTATATACAGTTATTTTAATATCGTCAGTAGACTCTGTTACAATAGAATTTAGTAAAATTAGTTCTGGTTTATAATTTTCTGCAATTGAAATCACTATATGTCCTTTATCTATTTCAACTCCACACATTAAAGAAATGTTATTATATGAATTTGATTTTACTGTAAAATCTTCTTGTGCGAATACTTTAATATGTCTATCATTTATTGCTCTATGTTCTAAATCTGAATTAATATAAAAAGTTATTCTATATTGTTCATGCTTTTCATAATATAAAAACATTCTACTATTATACATTTTATAAATGTAAAGATTTTTTTTAAATCACTCTGTAATCCTAATATCTATTTTGTTTTTAAAGTTCTTGCAATATAATTTAAAATGCTTTCACCTTGATGTAAAAAATTACACTTTTTATCATTAACATTTTTATATATTAATATTTTTTCTCCTTTTTTATTTTTCTTTAATTTACTCTCTACTAATTTACATGGAGTATAATGACAAATTTCTACATTTTCTTCAATTTCTTTAAAAGAATGAGCATATTTGCAATTTATATTTTTACATTCTTTTTTATCAAGAATATATTTACATAATTTAGTTTTAGCTTTTCTTAATTTAGATAATTCTGACTTTTTTGGATGAAATAAAACACACTCTTTATTCTTACATTTAGGGTATTCAGAACATAGAGATAAATGTCTATATTGACATGAAGATTTAGTGCATATGAGTCTTTCCTTTACAGTATTACAATAAGGAATATCATGATTGTATTTACATTTTCTTCCAAAAGGACAATAATTATCATTTAAAATATTTTTACAGAAAATGGGTAGTTTCTCTACAAAATGAATTGTTGAAGGTTTTCCATCTTCAGTAAAATTAATATCAACATTAAATGGTTTTTCAAAACTAAATTTTCTTTTTTTGTAATGTTTTTTTGTTAAGAAACTATCTATAGCAGGATAATCATCATTAATAACATTATAAGTTGGAACATAATTAATCCATTTCAGCTTATCTTTATGCAGTTCCATGATTTGAACTGTTTTTAAAGGAATTGGAACTATAGGTTTTTCTTTAACTTCTTCATCATCTGATGTATAATAAGTAGCTTCATCAGATGTATAATAAGTGTCATCTTCAGAATCTGATTCTTCAAATTCAAATTTTAATATTTCTTCAAAAAGTTTAAATTCTTTTTGAAATTCTGATATTTCATTAATTTCATCATCATTCATTTTTATTTTTTATTATTTGTAAAAAATATTTTAAATCAAAAAATTTAAAATGAGTTAAATAATTTTCTTTTATATATATAAAAAGAATGGAAAACGAAATGCAAAATTCATTTTTAAAATCAATTGAACAAAGATTAAGATTAATAGAAGAAAAATTAAATATAATTGATATTCATGATATTGAAATGACTGAAGATTCTGAAGTTACTACAGTTACTACTACTGAAGTTACTGAAATTACAGAAACTACTGAATATAGTGATGATATTGAAATGACTGAAGAAGATGATGAAGATGATGAAGATGATGAAGATGATGAAGATGATGAAGAAGATGAAGAAGATGAAGATAATGAAGATGATGAAGATGATGAAGATGATGAAGATGATGAAGAAATATTAAAATATATACATGAATTAGGGTATGAAAGTACAGATGATGCTTTTATTAAAGCTGCTGAAAATAGCAACCTCGAAATATTAAAATATTTACATGAATTAGGGTATAAAGGTTCAAAATATGAATTTAATTGTGCTTTTGAAAAAGCTGCTGAAAATAGCAACCTCGAAATATTAAAATATTTACATGAATTAGGGTATAAAGCTTCAAAATATGAATTTAATTGTGCTTTTGAAAAAGCTGCTGAAAATAGTAACCTCGAAATATTAAAATATTTACATGAATTAGGGTATAAAGCTTCAAAATATGAATTTAATTGTGCTTTTGAAAAAGCTGCTGAAAATGGAAATCTTGAAATGTTAAAATATTTACATGAATTAGGGTATAAAGGTTCAAAATATGAATTTAATTGTGCTTTTGAAAAAGCTGCTGAAAATGGAAATCTTGAAATGTTAAAATATTTACATGAATTAGGGTATAAAGGTTCAAAATATGAATTTAATTGTGCTTTTGAAAAAGCTGCTGAAAATAGCAACCTCGAAATATTAAAATATTTACATGAATTAGGGTATAAAGCTTCAAAATATGAATTTAATTGTGTTGTTAAAAGCGGAAATCTTGAAGTAATTAAATACTTGTATGAATTAGGGTATAAAGGTACAGAAAATACATTTGATTCTGCTATTGAAAGCGGAAATCTTGAAGTAATTAAATATTTTCATGAATTGAGGTATAATGGTACGGAATATGCATTTGATTGTGCTTTTGAAAAAGCTGCAGAAAATGGAAATCTTGAAATGTTAAAATATTTACATGAATTAGGGTATAAAGCTTCAAAATATGAATTTAATTGTGTTGTTAAAAGCGGAAATCTTGAAGTAATTAAATACTTGTATGAATTAGGGTATAAATAAGAAGCAAGAAATAAAAATTGAAAATATATTTCTTTACATAAATTATAATAAATGGATTGTGCAAGTAAAGATGAAGTTAATAAATTTATGGGTTATAAAAGAAGAATAAGTTTAGCTCGTTATTTTAAAAATAAAAATAAATTACAATGGGAAAAGTTAGAGAAGGAAAGATTAGAAGAAGAAAAGTTAAAAACACCAGATCAAATTTATTATTAAGAAAAATCACGTGACGTCATTTTAAGAATTTTTCGTAATATTTCATAACAAGAAATAAAAATTAACACTTATTTTAAAAAATCAATTTTTTTAAAATAAAAAATTATTTCTTATCTAAATAAATTATACACAACATGGTTCAATGTTAACCCCAATATTCATATTAATTTATGGTTGAAAATAAGGTTGAAAATGAAAAATAAGCTAGAACTCTCATTTTCCTACTACTGACAGTTTATGCTTGATATAAGTCAAAATATTAATCTAAAACAATTTTAGTAGTTTGTATGTCTGAAAAAGCTGAGAGATTTTTGTAGTATGTAGGGTGTCTGAAAAAGCTGAGAGATATTTGTCAGTATGATACAAATATTTCAAAAGAAAAAGTAAAGAAATTTTGAAATTGTTTCAAAAATAAGGTTAGCATTACGTCACATATATATAAAAACTAGCATCTGTAACAAATAACACAAATAAGTTAAAAAAATATGAAACTACTATGAAAATTTGAAAACCATTTAAACATAAGTGATAACCCAGGTAAAAATAACATTATAAAGAATAAATTTTATTATAATTTTTTGTTAATTTTGATTTTTTATTAAATAAATTTTGATATTTTAAAAAATTAAATAAAAAAAAGTAAACCTGAAAAAATATTGAATATTCAGCAAAAAAAAAAAAAAAAAAAAAAAAAAATTAAAAACCTTGATAAAAAAATTTGTTCCAGCAACAACTTGAGTTTTATATGATACAGCTTCATATTGATCTAAAGACTGGTTGACCTTACCCAATACCTGATCTTTTATCTAAAGAATAAAATGTATTTGTATAAAACATTTCTGTTCAGTAGTTTCTTATTACTAACCAGCCTTCTAGCCCTGAAATAAACTTTGATTTTTCAAAAATTTTCTTTTTCATTTCTCACCATAGTAAAAGACTTTTATGACATTCTATTGTAATGATAAAACAACCGGTAAAAAAAGTGTATTTGACCACAACCCACACTAGAATTAAATTATTTTATTCATGTTCTGTAAAAAATTCCCACCCATCCTTTTATTAAGATCACCACATTTATTAGATCTGGACTAAAATTCCCACATCCACTTGTATTAAGCACACAAGAGTATTAGGATTGATTTTTTTTTCGTCAATCTTGAAACTAATCTCTTTTCTGTGCCTGCTTGGTTGTTGTGATGGTTGGTGAATTTTAATTTAAATAAAACGTGGTTTTAAAATATTTTTCTTTTGTAGCTCTAATAAGGTTAAGGAATTATTTTATCTCTGGATGATAAATATTTTTATATTCAAACAGTTAATTATTTTTAATATAAATAAACACTTTAATTGTATTTAAATGTATGTATTTTTATATATGTATGTATACACAAACAGGATATAGTCAGAAAATTATAACCATTTCACAGGGGATGAAGGAAAAGAAACTTTTTATGATGTACACAGTAGAAACAATTTTTTGATTTATTTTTATAAAAATGACTAATATAATCTAAAATAAAACTTGTTAACTCAAGAATTTCACAACAAATATAGAAATTAGAGCTATGCAAGACCAGATTGTAAAATATGAAAATGTTACTTTTTTTTTATATATATATTCTGACTCACTCCCAACAAAGCTGCAAGCAACCTCTATTAGTTGGGATTTACTAGAAAAAAAGAAAAAAGTTATAAAGCAAGGAAACAGTTGATGGAAGACTTGAAAAATTTGAAGGTTGTATGAGTCAGGAAAACATAAAGACGCGAGAGTTCCAAAGAGTTGAAGTGTGGGAAAAAGAACCAGACAAATAAAAGTTTTTGGAGCATGCAAGGACAGATATAGTAAAAGAATGAGACTTAGATGAATGAAGAGTCAAGCGAGAATGAGTTTTAGTTGATGCAATAAGAGATGATAGATCCTATGAGCAGCGACCATGGTAATATTTGTAGAAAAGAGAAAGAGATGCAACTTTACGATGATGGGAATAAGGCTCAAGCTTAGCAGATAGACCAAGTCCAACTATGTTTACAATGCGTATTTGGGCCTTGTCTAGAGAAAGAGCATCATTAGAAGAATCAGCCCAAATTTATTAAATTTATGCGGTAGTGGTGTAGTGGTAAAACACTCGCTTCATAAGCAAGAGATTCCAAGTTTGATCCCCACCACGTCCTTGGTAGTACCGCGCTCAACTTGTTTCTCCACGCAGCGGCCTTGTTTGTCAGGGTTCGTGTTTCGGAGTTATAGAGTTGAGAGAGGGTTATAACCACTATTAAGTAGCTTCCTCGTCCGTAGTGACCTTCTCGGCCTTAAGGAGGTGAATGAAAAAAAAAAAAAAAAAAATGACAACAGCACTCCATACAGGAAAATGGCAAGCATAATAAAGCAACCTTAGCAGATTCTAATATAGCAATCGATATATGGTTTCCATGAATAGTCAATAGTGAACAATAATCCAAGAAGACATAAGAAGGAGGACTCAATGAGAGGATTGCCATTCATTAATACTGGGATGTCGGCAGTATTGTGATAGTTCTTTGCAGTAAATAACTAATTTTTTTGGAGTAAAAAGCCCCAATCTATTACCGAAGTGAAATCAGATTCAAGATCGGCTGCCTGTTCTAAGCGATCAAAAGACTGAGAGAAGACTTTCTATCAAGACAGGAGTATAGAGTTTAGTCGTCAGCAAAAAGAGCAAGTTTAGATGTAAGTTGTTGGGAAGATCATTAATATAGATAAGAAACAAAATAGATAGTAACCAAGGATAGAAGTTTAAGTTACCCCAAAAGTTACTGGAAATGAAGAAGAGTGTTGGCATTCCAGGATGCCTTTATTAAAGCGGTTAGAAAGAAACAATCTGATAATCTCAAAAACTTTCCCGGATACGCCACATAAAACAAGCTTATGGAGAAGACCAGCATGCCAAAATTTGTCGAATGCCTTAGATATCTCAAGAACAATAGCCCTTCTTTCTTCTTCTCCATTTAATGCACAATGAAAATTTTTCAGTCGCAGCAGTTAGCAAGTCATCCACAGTACAAGAGGATCGAAAAACACATTGATTGTCTGACAGAGGGTTATTTGACTCAAGATGGGATATAAAAAATTTGTAAATCAAAAATTCAAAGACCTTGCTAATAACAGAAAGAAGACTGATTGCACAATAATTGGAGGGAGTAGAATGTTCAACAGAGTTTTTGATAATTGGAACAACAGATGCCATTTTCCAGCAGGCAAGAAAATAAGATTCATTCAAGCACTTATTAAATAGTTTAGAAAGAATTGAAGGGAGTTCTGGAGAACAAATTTGTAAGTCTGTGACAGAAATGTTGTCTAGACAACAAGCCGTAGAAGAGTTTAATCAAGATAAGTCTTTAACAACAGAATCTGAAATGATTTGAATGTCTAACAAAAGGGTAACCTGTTTAATTGTAATGGAAGGAAGAGAATAGCAATTAGATTCAAGAGAGGAGTTAAAAAAAAAAGTTCTTTGCAAATAGTTCTGCCTTATCCTACGGAGAAGTAATAAGATCAGCCCCATGAATGATTGATGGAATATTAGACCTATCTTTGTTAATGACGCTGTAAAAGATTTTCTCAGAGCCTAACTTCTGAGAATAATGGAGCTTACCATTTGACAGAACCTTTTTAGATTGATTTCTAACAATAGTTAATAGCTGTTTATTCTCAAGAAAACTGTTCTTTTAAAAAAGATTAAAAAAATGATTACAATTAGATATAGCAGCTGCACAAGAAGTAGAATGAGGCTTGACTTGGAACTGACGAGAAGTAATAAAAGTTTCCATTCCTGCCTGAATCTAGGCGGTTACATAGAAGGCCCATTTTTAAGCTGAGAGAGAAAAGACAAAGATTAAAGACTGTCGCAAAGAAAATCACAAGAATCACAATCAGCATTGTAAGATTTAATAGGGGCTGATAGCCGGGGCTAGAAAAAAAATTATAATTCTTTATATATTATTTATACTGACATTTACTATATATTAAATTCTGACACATATTTATGCAAGTATTTAATAAATAGGGACAGATACAGTAAAAGGATGCAACTTGTTGAATAAGAAGCCAAGCAAGAATGAGTTTTGATTTATTTTGATAGCTTGTTTGAGCATTGGCCATGATTAAAGAAACAGCATAAAAAAGAAAGGCTTAAGCCTGCTGCTGCTGCTCATGATTATGATGATAATGATGATGACAATAATGATGATGATAATGATGACAATGATCATGTTGATCATAATGATGTTTATAAATATACATATATATACATATATATACATATATATATATATATATATATATACATATATATATATATATATATATATATATATATATATATATATATATATATATATATATATATATATATATATATATATAATTTTCAAATAAATAAATAAAATTTTATCAATATTAATTGAAATCATCAGGTATAAAAAATTAGTTACAATTTCTCTATATAAACAATTGTTTTGACTACATTAAAAATTTAATAGTTTTTACGATAGCTACCATAGTTACATTTTACAAAATAAATAATTACCATGAAATTTTACAAATGATTATACAAAAGGTGTGAAGTAATTAATAATAAACAAAATAGGAAATAAAAAGATAATTGAGAAATTATATTGTTATAGTAATAATGTATAATTTCAATTGTGTATTAAGAAGAGGTTTTTCTATTTCAATAAGGATACTTTCCTTAATTTTAAGTTCATACTTGGAGGAAACTCTGTCAATAATGGAAAAGCAATCAAGAGTAGTTGAATTTTTGTATTTTTGTGATGAATTGAGATGTTTGTAAATATGTGAGGCCTTATCTGAATTTAAATGTTCTGAAATCCTTGTTGAGTAGTGTTTTTACAATGGCAAAATAAATAAAGCCCGCAAATATATATATATATATATATATATATATATATATACACAAAATCAAACATAAATTTTGAAAAAAAAAGTACTTTAGGATGTTTAGTGTTTATGCAACCCTGCTCACAAACCCTGTCCCGGCTGTATTTTATCAAACCTAGCCCCATTCAAATATCAACCCCGGTCATTTACTAATTGGACATGATATTTTGGAAATGCATTAGGAAAAATATTACACCTAACAAAAGAGTAGAGATAAAGGTGATCTTATGTTTAACATTCTGCATTTCTGAGGTTGAAATGAGTTCCATAATACCGAAAATACTGATGAAACAATATTTACAATTTGTCACATAAAAATAAACCTAATAATCAAAATTAATTAAAAAAAAATCTTGTAAATGCAAGATTGCATGCTGGTTGGAATGTGTGGAGAAATCATAAAATCAAATGTACAATTAAATTTATCTGATTTTAAACCATCAGCAATTATGCAAACATTCAGACAAAGTTTTGGGTTTTTTTTTTTCTCAACTATTTCCAGTATTTGCTGGACATAGTTATTAATTATAAATTAAGTACCAAAAGTAATTTTAATTGTATTTTTCTAAACTTATTTCTTTATTCTTTCTTTAGTCGCTAGTATATTGCTCAAGGCAATAAATATTTAAGTTCTGAAAACTTTTTACTAGTTTCACAACCATTCATGAAAACATTTTAAAAAGTAGACACATTTTGATATTTAATTAAGTTTAAACAGCTTTAGCTTTTAATGAAATGACAATTTTGCAGTTCTTGAACTCATATTTAACATCTAAAATACTTTTACATTCAGTAACTTAATACTTGAAAACCATATCTTTTTAATCCAATTTTTTAGCTCTAAGAAAAAGGAAAAATTAATATACACTTACACATACATATACACAACTTTAACTTAATATTATCATTTATTAAATTGAAAATCACCACATTTTTTAGAAATGTGCCATACTACAAACCAATAATGAAAAAAAAATTGTTTACTTAACCTGAGATTATAATAGGCTTGGTTTTTAATGGAATGATATAACTAATATAACTTTTTACTAATATAAAGAACTTTTATTAGTTTTTAAGAACTTTTACTAAAATAAAGAACTTCATACTTGTATAATGATATGGACTTCAGACTCCTGAACTGTTTGCTGTGGTAGTATAATTCGATTCGTTTTTAAGACATGTAAAATTAGGAATACATTTTAGCATTGTTTGATGTTGGTTGCAAATTTTTTTTCCAATACTGTAAATATTAATATTTGAAGCGAATTGAAAATTGTTCCTAATTTTACATATCATGCAAAATGCTTTACTTCAGTCTTGTTCATTGTCATCTCTCCTATGCTAATATTGTTTGGGCTAACACACACTAAACTAAGTTATTAAGATTATAGAGCCTACAAAACCACGCATGTAAAGCAGTTAACTATTTAAAGAGATTAGAAAACCCTTCATAATTAAACTTTAAGTTTCATTAATTTTTTTTTTTTTTCATTTAAATTATTTTAATATATATATATTATATATATATATATATATATATATATATATATATATATATAAATATATATATATATATATATATATATATATATATATATTATATATATATATATATTATATATGTGTATATATATAATATATATATATATTTTTATATATATATATATATATATATATATATATATATATATATATATATATATAAATATATATAATATATATATATATATATATATATATTATATATATATATATATATATATATATATATATATATATATATATATATATATATATATATATATATATATACATATATAATATATATATAATATATATATATATATATATATATATATATTATATATATATTATATATGTGTATATATATATAATATATATATATATTTATATATATATATATATATATATATATATATATAAATATATAAATATATATATATATATATATATATATATATATATATATATATATATATATATTATATATATATATATATATATATATATATATATATATATATATATACATATATAATATATATATAATATATATATATATATATATATATATATATATATATATATATATATATATATATATATATATATATATATAAATTACTTTTTCAATGATCGCTTTAACTTCATCATCTGCAGGTCTACTTTCACTGGTTCCACCACAAAGTGTCATTTTTAAGTTAATCGGATTTTTTGTCGTTATTAGGGTCTTTGCGTATTATAAGTAGCGTTAATCTTGTTTAGATAGGAAAATTTTGTAGGAAGGCGTGTGTTGGCTCAGTTAACCAAGTAAATCCTATACCTAAAACGTTTAAGTTAGTTTAAACGAGTTTGGATTGGATATTTAAATTAGCGTTTTTTAAAAGGGCTGATTTGACATCTTTGGCAAAATCTATTTTTTCAATGATTAGTGTTTTTTGATAATATCTTCATTAGTTTCTTTAAAAAGATTATTTGAATGTCATTTTCCTATACAAGTAAAGTCAGCTGAGAACGCTCTAATCCTAAGTATAAGCCAGCAAATACTTAGATTAAGTTAGTTTAAGTACTCGCTCCAGCTCAAAAAAGTTTACTGTTAAAGAAATAGTAGATGCAGCTGAATTGGAGCACCAAACAATAAAAAAGTCTTGTGTTTCTGGAGAAACTAAGTAAAAATACCCCAAAGGAAAGAAAGGTTTACTTTTATATGCGTAAACTAATTCATTTTGTACATGACCATGATAAAAAAAAACCTTCATCAAGGCATTGATTAATATAAATAATTTTGTCGGTCATACTTTTTTATGGCTAAAGATACTGGTGCTGTACAATAGGTGAATAGTTTGGCTTACTCTAGTCGCAAGGTTAAACTCTAAACAAAGTGGAAGGTGGAACAAAGGTGAATATGGAAGAAGTAACCAAATTAAAAGAAATTATTTCTGTAGAACGTAATAAGTTTAATAACAATCTTATATAACTTCCCATAAACTGTAGTATCAAACTGTACACTATATCATTCCGCACGCTGATCAAAATTTATCGAAAAAATAAATAATTATTAATATAAATAAATAATTTTCAAAAAAAAAATAATAATAACTGAACCAATTTGGGTATGAAAAAAATAAAAATAGATTTGAATAAATTCAAAAGTTTCCATGGCTCAGAGTTGTTAACAAGGCCAAAATTTTTGACCCTAATTTTTGGCCTTAAAGCAAGGCCGAGGCCAAGACCAACGCTAAGAACTAGCAACTCTGGGCTCAGGTGCAACAACGTTACTCTCAAATAAAACAGAAAGAATGATGCGTTTCAATCACTTGGTGATTGGGATTATAATTTAACCCGAAATGATCTCCTCGAATTGGAGTTCTTTTTTTGCACTTATTCAAAAATGTCAAGCCTTGCAAAGACATACTCTACTTAAAGGTAACGGAGGAGCTTTATGGTAAATAAACGATTTTCCATCATACTTACGACACAAAAAATATTTTTGAAACTCATTTTTAAATTAATCTTCTAAATTTTGGAATCTAAAATTCCATTCATAATTGATTTAGCGCTAAATTAAATCCAGCTTCCCTAAACCTAGAACGACATTTTTTATAAAGTTTAAAATAAGTGAACAACAAGGGGAACAAGTACTGCCCCTATAACAATTTAAAGTAACGTTACGTCTCAATAGGTTACAATTGGTAACAAGGTTACATTCTCTACTTTTTATTCAACTATTAAGTAAATAAACTTGAAAATGCAGTAAATGTTTGTTCATCATTGCCGTATTGCTAAATACTTTTATTTTATTTTATTTTTATTGTAAAATAGCTTCGTCTCAATTCGTTACTTTGTCACGAAAAAACAAAAAGTCTCAATTCGTAACATTACTTCTTAATTGGTTTTTTTTTAAAACTTTTTAAAGAGTAATTAGTTGAGACGTTACGTAACGTAACAAAATCTGGATTTGAGACGTAACTAAAATACGTCTCAAACATAAATTTTTTTAACGTTACGTCACGTCTAAATTCGTTACACTCTTACAAGTAAAAAATAGACGTAAGGTAACGTAAAAAAAAAATTATATTTGTGACGTGTTATAATTGAGAAATAATTTTTTATTTACCAATTCCATTTTTTTAAAGATGTAGATATTATTTTTATATTTTATAGATTCTCTGCAGCTAAGATCGCAAAAACGCATTAACGCCCATAAGGTGGCAGAGGCGCTCGGGGATCAATTAAAACGAATGCCAATGCATGCAAAACGCGCAGCAGTAAAGGCAGAAGCCAGACTAATAGGCAACCTAGTCGGGCACCAAAGAAGGCTAATATTGCACCTGAATCTATTGGGAATGATAATTCTGACAATAACGCCTTTGATGATATTTGCAACGATGATATTTCGTTTACCAAAGACAGTGATTAGATGAAAAATTTACACAGATTATATTACTATGTTATTAATTTTTTTCCTTATAATAAACTTCTGAATGAAAGGCATTTTTCTGAACGTCATCAATAAACTTTATATGAAATAAAAAATGTGTATGAGGAGGGGGGGGGGGAAAGGTTGTTAGGTGCGAACGACCCCTTTGTTTGCAAAAGTATTAACGTTAACTTCAATTTTTTTTACAAATTTTTTTATTTAATCAGCTTAACACTACTTGTGTTTTTATTACCCCACAAGCAAAAATGTGTATATAATGTCAAGTTTGTCAGATATATATTTGTCATTATTTTAACAATATGTTTTACGGTAAGATTACGGTTTGTATTAAGTGATTTTAGAATTTTAGAATATGTTTTACTTTTAGTTTGATTGTTATTTATTTGCTAATTTTTTCATTTAACCAGCGTTTGTCCACTCATTGCTATATATGAGGCTTACCCTTCCAGCTAAACTCTTTAGGCTGTGAGAGTATGTCTTGTCAAGAATGTTAACAATAAATAAACTAATCTCATATGAATACGGGAACAATGTTACATTACAATGTTACGTATCGTTACGTAAAATGTTACGTCTCAGTTACGTAAAAATAACGGACATTTTGCACGTAACGTTACGTTACAATGTTACGTATCGTTACGTAAAATTTTACGTCTCGGTTACGTAAAAATAATGGACATTTTGCACGTAACGTAACGAATCTCGTCTACGTTACAATACGTAACGTAACCTAAAAATGTTATAGGGGCTGGGAGTATTTATCGATCTTTCTAAGACATTTGATACTGTTGATCACGGAATTTTGCTTTTAAAGCTAAAGCATTACGGCATTAAAGGCCTAACAAATAAATGGGTTAAAAGTTATCTTTTTAATAGAAAACAGTTTGTTGTCCTAGAGGAGTCAGGGGCTCTTGATATTGTTTGCGGAGTCCCACAGGGATCAACTTTATGACTTTTATTATTTTTAATATAAATTAATAATATAAATAAAGATTCTCATAAAATATCGTCAATTATGTATGCAGACAATACAAATTTATTCTACAACAATTCTGGTGTAAAAATATTGTTCGAAACAATGAACACTGAACTAGAAAGCCTTAACCAATGGTTTATAGCTAATAAGTTATCATTAAATTGTGAAAAAACAAGTTATGCTCTCTTCCATAAAATAAGACAATCAACTAATCTTCCATTAAAGTTGCCAAAACTGTCAATCAATAAAAATGAAATAAATTGAGTAAATCATTCAACGTTTTTGGGAGTAATATTTGATGAGAACCTATCATGGAAAAAACATATTAGTTTCATTGAAGCAAAAGTATCTTCTGCTATAAGTGTATTATATAAATCTAGGGCCTTTCTTGATTATAAATTACGCAAAATGCTTTACTTCAGTCTTGTGCATTGTCATCTCTCCTACGCTAATATTGTTTGGGCTAACACACACAAAACTAAGTTATTAAGATTACAAAGCCTACAAAACCACGCATGTGTTAAAGCAGTTAACTACTTAAAGAGATTAGAAAACCCTTTCCCTGTAATGAAATACATGAATGTTTTAAGTATATCAAAACTTAATTCGCTTCAAATATTAATATTTATGTATAAATATAAAAATAACTTGCTGCCAAAAGTGTTTTCTGATATTTTTACAGCAGCATTTTTACAAAAATACAGTCTTTGGTCAAATAACAACCATAACTATCACTTTAGCATAGTAAAATCGCAAGTGTCGAAATTCTCAATTATTAGCCAAGGCCCGTCATTATGGAATCAATTAAAAAATAACAATATAAAAGATTTGAAAAGCACTTTCTTTTATAAACAACAAATAAAATTGCATCTCCTTAATTTCTGACATTTATGTAAGTATGTTTGTATATGTGTGTGTTTTTATGGGTAAATGTATGTATGTATATATGAGTATATACGAGATTTTCTTTACTCTTCACGTAGTATTTAACAGATAAAATATTTGTTGTAAATTTTCTAAAGCCATGTAGGCTTTAAATGATATTGTAAAGGGGCTCTATGAAAAGATTGTGGTGACACCAGTCATCCTTATCTTCTTTGAGCCCCTGTCTATTTTATATATATTCTTTGTGTAACGTAAAAGTTTCATTGTAATTTTATTATTTTATTTTTATATAAACAGCTAAATATATTAAAAAAAAACATGTCAATGACGGAATGAGAGCAAAAACCTAAATCATCAAAATAAAGTAAATTTAGAAATTGACTCTTTCTTTATGTATCTTAATTACGATTTGTGGGCTCTTTTATTTTACATTAAAGGCTTTGTTGTGGATTTTAATTAATTCTTTGATTACTTTAAATTATTCTCTCCGTGGTCTCCGAATAGTTTTTTGTAAGAGTGCTGGCGTGAGAAGAAAGAGTATCAAGGTTAACGCGAGCTTGCAGTGGCGGATTAAGACTTTTTTTTTTTTTTTTTTTTTTTTTTTTTTTTTTTTTAACATCTTCACTTCCAACAAGGCTGCAAGCAACCACTATAAGAGTTGGGAGTTACTGGAAGAGAAAAGACTAAATCTGTAGAGCAAGATAACGATTGACTGATGACTTAAAAGATTGCAAATTATATGAATCAGGAAAGCAAGATGAAGGAAGCGAATTCCAAAGAACTGATGTTCGAGGAAAAAAACTAGAAGAATAAGAGTTTTTGAAGCACTTAGGAACAGTCACAGAAAAAGGATGAGACTTAATTG